TAGAATATTCATAAGCCCAAAATGGAATGAATTATCTCCATTAACTTCATCATGCTCACTTAATTACATGCTTGTTATTGTATTTACACCTTGTTAGATACCGCTGAAGCTGATCCAGTGGCTGGCCAGGAATTGGAAGCGTCTGTCATGGGGCAGTTGGAGCGCGTTTTGTAGGAAATGCTATTTATTTTAAATGCTCCACCTGCTGGGAGCCGAGGTTAGTCAGCAGCACTGAGATGAATTGGGAAACGGGGTGTAAAAAGAAATAATGTGCTTCTGACAGGCTCCGTGGCTTTTAAGTTGCTCTCATTCAGCCACTTCACAAAAAATTATTTTATTCCATCTCTCAGTGATGATGACATGATTGCTTTTGGGTAATCATTTACCATTCTGATTTTATTTTTTGAAGTAAATTGTCTGAAGTAATAGGTTCTTGGAATTACAGCGTGCCTTCTTTTTTCTTAGAACTTTATTTAAGCTTGTCTTCCAGCATTTAACCCGAGTCCCCTCTTTCGTTTGAACTTCTAACTTTATTTATACAACAGTGCTTAATGATCCTGCACAATGTGTTTTTTTCTCTCTCTGCACCCCCCTCCCCCCCAAAAAATTTTTCTGTCCAGTGTGGTTGACAGTACTTTTTATAACCTCAGCAAGGGGGCTGCATGGGCAATTTTCTTCCGACATGACAAATACAAACACCCCAAACCCAACCCTGATAGAATCACTTCATCCAGTTGAAAGGAAATTTTTGATCTCTTTCAAGGTGACTCTTTCTTCACTGAAACATGGTCAGGGGCATGACTCTCCCCTTCTGTTTTTCACTCTACACGTGGCATTCGTTACATTGGCTTGCCCTGTCTCCTCCCTTCTCCTGTCACCCTCTGCTCTTCCCCAAACTTCCACTGACTAGCCCTTCCTGGTGGGGGGGCCTGCAGTACCTCCATTCACTGGGAGTGTGAAGGGTCACTGTTCGCCACCACCAGGCTGCAGCGAGCCTGTGTTTATGGAACATGAACCAGACCAATGGCGGAGAGAATTATAATCATACTTCTAAATACTTGTCAGATCAGCCTAGTAGAGCACTTGAGCTAAACCATGGATATTTTATTCTGTTTGAAGGCTGTATTTTAGTATCAACAAAAAAGAAGAGAAAAAGAAAACTCAAGATAATTAGGAGCTGGATAGTGGACTAACAGAGAGACTCTTCAGCCCCTAGAAATATTTTAGTGTCTAAGATGTGATTTAACAGGCGAGAATGGTCCTCTAGGCGTTGGTTAGTCGATAAATGAATTGTACACTGTTTGGGCCTGGCACTGTGCCTTGTGAATTTTGTTCTGAATAAGAATTGAATGGAAGATGATTCTTTTTATTTCCTATTTTGATTGAGAAATGTTTATATGCTTGTCATTTGATTTGGGGCCCTGAATGTGTTTGTCTTTGAAACATGGATGTCACTTGAGATCTTTCAGATACTGTGCATAGCCCAGACTGGGGTATTGATTAATAGTCAGGAGAAAGACAGCCAGGCCAGAGGCTCCAACAGCTCTCTAGAGGTTGGATGGTTTCAAATCAAAGAGGTTTTCTTTCAAAATTCCTAAAGCTTCCTGCATTCCACTCTTTTCGGCAAAGCTCATGTTGCATTGAGGGAGGGAGGCTATGGATTAGAAAAGGTGGGAAAGCTGAGAACTGTATGGTGGGAAGCCGTGCAATTAAAAAACTGACTGAAATTATTACCTGATTTCATAATTGACAGAATATTTAATTCAGATATAGTAAATTGACACACCTCTACACAGAGACAATTATGACTGACTGTGTAACACCTGACAGAATCAATTATAACTGACTGTTGTTTGATACCTTTGCACGGAAATAAATGAAACAGACATTCAGAACAGAGACGGCTGCTGCCTGTGTGCCTAAGCCTGCCTTAATTAAAATAAAATAACCAGTAGGCGATGTTAAAATGTCTTTGCCTCATAGTTTCTAGTTCAGTGTGTTTCTTTAAGTCCAAAAAGGGTTTTACAAAGAGTAAAACCGAAAAGAGATTTTTGGTTTACTGACATGGAAATAAAATATCTGAAGTAGAGATGGTTTCCTTAGATGGGAGAATATTCCATTTTTTCAAACAGCTCTAACATTTTATTTGATCAGTTGGCTTTTAAATAAAATATTTAAGACAAGTTCAACCTACAGATGATAGTCTGTTTCACCCTGTATAGAAAATACTGTAACTTGCATGATTTTGAGGTTTTAGATTCTAATCAGTAGAAACCAACTTTTAAATTAGCAGTTCATTTTATTGTCTGATAAAATATTGTGTGAATAATATCTAGGCTAACCGATTTTTCATTGTTTTCATAGGGGTTGGAGACAGGATGTTTTTGGTAATTAGTATATACCCCTAGGGAATCAGCATGTAGAAAGGATCAGAGTAAATAAGTTGTAGATACATGTTCCTCAAATGTTAGTCCCAGGAAAAGTAGATTTGCTTTGCTGGTGTATTAAGATGAGGGATTGCCAGTGATACTTCAGTCCATTAGAGTATATTTTGCTGATGCACTTGTGTGTAGGAAGAGTATTTCCTTGCCTATCTCCACGAAGTCTGGATTTTTTGTGCTGGTTGTTGAGACAGCAACAGGCATGGCCAGTGGCATCTCGTGGACTTGGGTGGGATGGCTGCAGATCTTCTCTGCCTCTTGCCTAATGACCTCTTAGAATCTTTTAACAGTTGTCCTCGGGCACCTGAACTGCAGCACCTGTGGCAATGGCCTCTTTACTGATTCCCAAAACCAGAGCAGGGAGAAGGAATCGGGTTTTACTGGCCACGTTAACTGGTTTCCACCATTTAACATCGGTATTTTCCCTTGAGTTCAAAAGTGGTGGGTGTAGCATTAAAGGAAACAGAGTGACAGTTTCATGTGAAGCCTAACTAACGTGGGTGACCTAGGTGCCTAAACGGGGGAGAGAAAACCCACGAAGAAGGGGTGAGCCCTTTCACCCCCTCAGCCTCCCCCCCCAACACGGCCTGTGACAGCTCGTGCAGTTCTATCTCCTGGAAGACCTTCCATACGTTATTGATTAAATCCTCATTGGGGAAGCAAGTGGGAGCTTTTATCTGCATCTCTAACTGGCGTAGAATGGTGCCTTGGTCGTATTGACCGGCTATGGGATATGCTGGCGGTCACAGTTGTCTTTTACGAAGAAGAGTACCAAGTGATGCTGGTTGTCATTCTAACTCTGCTGTGTGGCAGCGCAAATAGTCCCCTTTCTAACCAACCTGGTGGGAAAAGTCAATATCCCATCAGCAGAGGAGGTAAACACATCAGGAGCTGTGCCCTCTCTCTTCCTCCCCTGCTCCGTGTTACCGCCGCTCTGTAAATGTGCTCTCCCCGGCAGCACATGCATTTGTGTCATTCACATGCACGGGGTGCCGGCCCAGCTCTGGCCTGCCAGGAGGCGGCCGCCACTGGTCGGGGCCATTGTTGTGTATTCCCAGACTCCGATAATTAGAACTTTGAAAGTATCTTTCTGTAGTCGGTTAATGATGCGCCCCCTCTCTGTTCTCGTCTCTTTTTCCACCCCCTTTGGGCATTTAAATCCTCTCTACAAAACTTTCTGTTGTTGTTTTTTGAAAGGCAATTGATGTAATTTACAAGAGGTTGTGGAGAACAAATGCGAATATGTAGCTAAGGGACAAAAATCTGGAGCCGGAGTTTTGGTGTTCCGGGGGTCTTGTAGTGCCGCTCTGTTGTCTCTGTGGGCTCTCTCCTTTGTGATTAGTGTGCACTCCTTCGTGTCTCCTTCAAGGTTTCCTCTTCTGGGGCGCCGGGCAGCCTTGCTCCCTCCAGCACCTTGTCATGTCGCATCTGGGGCCTGCCCATCTCTATCCGGGAGCAGGTCCAGGGGATGTAGGGAGAGAGGGGTGCAAAAGTGAGCCTCTACTTTGAGTGTGGGCTCAGGTTCTGGCTACCTGAGTTTGCACTTCTACATCCCGGATGAGCAGCTGTGTGACCTTGGGCAAGTGACTTCACCTCCTGGTTTCCTCAGCCATAAAATGGGAATTGAAAAAAAAGTGTGCCTCTCCAAACACCTCACAGGGTTCCGGAGCAACTTTGATCAAAAACTGATCATTTTAATTCATTTTAATCATCCTGGGCAGGGTTGGCTCCCCCGGGGATCACCCTCTTCCCCAAAAGAGCAGACGTGGGTGTCATGGCCCTACTGCTCCTTTAAGAGAACCAAGTGTAGAGACAGCAGGCTCTGGGGAGGGAAAGGAAAGCTCTTCTCTCTGGCTGGTGGTGCCCTTCTCAGAACAGGAAGGCCAGGGATGAATGGGTGGAAGGAGCAGGAAGCAGAGGAAGGGGCCTCTGCATACTCGAAGTTCACAGGTATACAGTGTGGACAGAGAAGACGAAAATCTTGCCAGTGGACAGGTGCTCTCCGGGCAGTCCACTCCTTGCCTATTTCAGTAGAGGAGGTTTTGTGTAGCAGAGGGACACAGACGGAAGGGACTAGAAGCAGCCCACTAGGCCCAGCTGATCCAGGGGGGTTGCGCTGGGAGGCTCTGGCTTCCTTTGAGACAGAGTATTTCCTGCCACATCCATATTCTACGTGAATTGCATGCATGTGCTCGACAGCGCTGCGAAAGTGGTGTCTGCGAGTGGAGCTCACCTTGTCTGCTGCACATGGGCATGCACCTGCGCTTCACATCAGTAGAGGTGGCCCTGTCCCCCGGTGCACTGAGTCAGCTAGGTGCTAAGATGTGGTGGCCAGGGGAAAGAAGAAAGGCTTTCCACAGAGGAATCTCGGGGTCTCAGCCACCTCCCTGCATGGGATTTACCCCAGGGGTAGACCAGTGACAGGACCTTGACGACATCTGAGATGTGGAGTTACAAACAGAATCCACATCCCTTTCTCTGGTACTTAAGGAATACTGAATGGTCTTTAAAGGAGCTACTTCTGAGACTTGTAATCCTTTTATTCTTATTTCTTTTTAGATAAATTGAAGGCACAGTTTCTTACCCCCAAAGTTCGTCAGGACTACAAAAAACTCAAGAACACGGCAGAGCAGTTCTTGTCCCGAAGTGGCTACTCGGAAGTGAACCTCAGCAAACTCTTCGCCGACTGCGCTGTGAGGTCCTGAGGGAATCCCCAGAGGACGAGGCGGGCTGCTTGAAGCATCGCAGCCTCCTCGGCACCTCCGCCGTGGCCCTAACTGCTTCTCCGGCCTCACTTTTCCTCTGGGACTGCATCTCATGTTTGTGTGGATGTGGCTTGGGAGGGGGATTATTAAGGGGACTGCAAAAATATTTAATCTACGAAGCATCAGAGAAACGGGAAACAGCCTTCCAATTACAATATACCACTGTGAAACACGACCCCATAGCCCTTTGCAAAGCACCTGAAGAGCCGACTGCTTCTTATTGGGACTGGGTTTCTAGGGGAGGGGTCGGTGAGGGAAGAGAAATTAATTGAGTGGCTGGAATGCAAGTGACCCCAGGCTTTGCCCTGGCTTCAGTAGAGGTGCCCCTAGAAGGAGAGGTTCATGAGCCTGGTAGGAGCAGCTAACATTTTGCCTTTTCACACGCCAATTAAACCCAGTCTGAACCCAAGTGCTTCCAGCCGCTGGCTCCAGGAGTGGCTGTCCTTTTCAGTCTTGTCTTTTATATAGGTAGCGGGGGG